GAGAGAGAGAGAGAGAGAGAGAGATTTTAAAGAATTAAAATAAAGAAAATCATTGACACTAACACGTGGACGGATAGATTTAGACCGTGACGTCGGCTTTCTTTCTCATTCATTATTATGATTTTAATCAGAGCTATATTTACATATATCGAAATAAACTATGTTTAATTAACTCAATAGGTTTAAGATTAAATAAAAAACGATATTTACATATATTTTATGTATAACTCTATTTAAATTTTATATTTTTATTAATCAAAATTTAAATCTTACATTAAAGATATTATTTAGGATTTTTTTGTGTTTGTGTGTTTCAGGATAAGCAATTTATTCTGAAACGCGGCTAACGGGTTGATTGCGGAGGTCGGCCCACGACCTGTGTTTAGTGCAAAAAATTCAAATGCAACAGACAGCATTTTCAAAAATACACAAATTAAATGATTATGCAGCGTTTTCAAAAACACTAAAAATACCGCCGCACTTATAAACTCACCCAAAGGGACACTTCATCTATAAAAAATTTCAGCAGAAGCCCGTTGATTATTAAATTCAATGAAAATGAGCTGACCTAGATTCAGCCGTACGGCATCCATGAAGGTGCGGTTCCTGATATGGCCGTTAACAGGATCAGGGGATCGGTAACAATCAGCAAGCAGCGAGGATTGGACCAATGTCATTGCAGCAAAGCAAATCATGACTATGGGCCCACCAATCAGACCCAGCTGGCCCACACTCCAAGCAAGAGAGAGAACTCCGGACCCGATCACTGCTGTTATTATATGCGCACTGGCACTCCATGCTGACCCTGATATCATGCAAAGCAGGGGAAATTTAATTTGTCACAAATCATTTTATTCAAAATACAATCACTAACATCTTACAAAAATATCAATCATTTCATGTCAATGAAACTATGAGATCAAATTTTCTAAGGAAGAGCATACCCAAACAAAATGACAGGCTTATCTAAATAATTATAATTCATTTACAATATTATATTTCTGCTTTAGTTTATTTAACATTCAATTCAATAGCTTGTGTGTCTCAATAAAACTTGTATTTTTTTTAACTATTAAATATTATGATAATCAAGCAGAGTGTGATAATAGTTAGATAAGTTCATTACAAAAACCATTTTCATAAGAGCACTTGTACTTTTATTTGTAACTAATTTAAATATTTATTTTTAATTTTGGCTTAGCTTGAAGTTGCATCGTCGTTCAACAAATCTCTTTTCAAATCGTGTTCATCCAATCGGAAGA